TTTATCAAGATGCTATCCTAAAGTTATGTTGTGTTATAATAAGAAATCAGTTCAATCATTACTAACGAAGTAAAAACCAATTAAAGCAAAAACAAAAATATCAATAATTTGATCTTCAAGGTCAAGGTTATTTATGAGTGAAGATATGAGTGAAGATGAAGGTATGTCTGTCTATCCTTAAAGATTAATATGTTCAAAATCGAAACTAACAAATTATAGCCACTTATAGCAAAAATCAGAAAACGAAACAAGCAAAAATTAGATATTTAACCTTAAAGGACAAGGTCATTTAAGAATAAAGGTCAATGTTAGTCAAGTCTTCCTAAAGGTCTTGTCCAAAGGGCTGTTGTAGCCAAATATGAACACAATACGCTTAGAACTTAAAAAGTTATGATCAAGGTAAATGTTTGCGTACGGCAACGTAACTGACTGTAACAATACCTCTCTATTATTTAAAAATGATTGATTGATGCTCATTTGCTTTACAATCAAAGTCTTTGAAACATAAAATGTAAACTATATCTATATATCTACAGTACTTAACATTTTAAAAGCTTCGTTGCCTTGAAACGTTATTAATGATTATATTGACTTCTATTTGAGGATGTAAATGTGAAAGGTTCTCATTAGACCAACACATTAATGTAATTGTAAAAAAGTGTTTTATGCCTCAATCCCAAGACTTAATGGCTTTTTTAATGTTGCTCTATATTTTTGTAAATCTTGCTCTATAAAAATAGATATAAATGTCTTACTAAAAGCATTTCCCTCATTAGCCATGATAATTCAATTTATCAACAACTTCCGTTTCATATTATTCGTTTTGCATATTTTGTCCCTACGTAAAGTTTGGCGTTTAAAGGAGAAATGGTGTATTATGCAATATCAAACACATCTAATATTTAAAGATCCTGTATGTTTTGTGATTGATATTGTTACGTAGTGTACACCATACTTGCAAAAAGTTATATAATTATGTATATAATTATGCAAATAAATAATTTTCAAACATCGAAGAATATGTAAAATGTGTACTGCAAATATTTGTGCACATTATATTTAATCAATAAATTACATGCATTCATTTCTTATTGGAAAATTTGACTTAGAATTTATAGAAAATATATTTCTAATTACCTCCCTTTATTTACATGAAATGTTAAATTGGGTAATATCTTTACAAATAATGCTTATTGGAACTTACAATATTGACAAATCTTAATTTGAGCATCACATTTATGAAATGAAACCATGAAAAAATTGTGTTACAGGATCTTTAATGAGATATCCCAAAAAATCACAATTAATTTTACCCTTAGCCTTTCATTTGGTATCTCATAAGCCGATGTGTCAATGAAATTTCTTTTTTATCAATGTAGTCATGTTTTTTGCAATTATTATTATTGGACAATTTGTTTGATTTGGATCGTATATTCTTCTAAAAGAAGAATATTTCCAAATTGATAGCTGTTGTAAGAGTGACTTAAAAATCGGAGGAAAATGAAGATGAATGTCTATAAATAGTGTTATAAAAATCGTTATAGTTAAATTGTATAGCTTAGTAAAGTGTAATATAAACGTCAATGTGTTTTTTCAAATTCAAACAGTTTCAGAGTTAACAATTTTCAGATAAATCACTCTCCTTTGTTCATTGTTTTAACAAATTTAGTTTAATATAAAGGTTAATTCAATATTACCTTTCGTTTGGCAAGTTCGATTATAGGTTATAAAATAAATTAAATAGCCAAGAACATCGTTCTTCATATTTTATCAATCGTAACATTAGAATGAGAATCAAAGTAAAAACAGCAATTAGTTTGCTTTTTTTCTAGTTAAAAATTTACTCATATAAATTCCCATGTATCTGACTGACGGTAGTATGGAAGAATAGATTCTTTGAGAAAATAACCGCTTTGTATGGATCAAAGAAGTTCCTTTTAAATTTTGGTATGAACCTGCAATAATAACTTGTTATGATATTTGTCATGAGAATAGCTAGTATGCAAACTGCATGATCGAAGTAATTATAATAACAATGAGACTGTTAAATAAATTTTCGCACCAAATGAATCTGAACATTGGTTCAGTATTGATGTGAAGTAAAAATGATGTTTCTACATTGCTTTTTACATTTTGAATTTGAATTCATTCGTTTATATATTATTTAATTATATAAGGTTCATCAGCGTTGTTTGTGCCGTGTGGAGGCCGTAATAAATCGTCCCGTACATTCAATCAGGGATGTTATATTTCCGATCCTTAAAGATCGTTCAGCACGACCTAATTGTTGTACATTTACAATTTTGCCGTGTTGGGCTTTCTTTAGGGATTCGTATTTCTCTCTATTTTATGAAAATATTTACCTCTACAAAATACCTTTCAAAAACACTGGATCCCAAGAAGGATATATAGAACGTGGACAGAATAACAATAGATAAGGAGAAAATAAATCATACAGTGCTAAAGTGTAAATAGCGTGTTATGCCTTCACCAGGGGTGTATGTATAGCATATCGACCGAGTACGAGGTCTTTCTGTTTAGGAAAGACCTGGTCAAGAATTTCATGTGACACCGAGAGCGCGTAGCGCTCGAGGTGTTTCATGAAATTCGTGACCAGGTCATTCCTAAACAGAAAGATCGATGTACGAGGCCGATATCCAACTTACACACCGTCAAACTATTGGCTTGACCAATGGCTAATGCACGAAAATTATATTTGACACAGCGCATATATAGGTAAGCTTTTATCAACGTTCTGCTTTAATAGAATATATATTTTGCATTTAACTCTGCTTTACTCTTAAAAATAATAATCTAAAAAGCTAAATGTGCAATTTGTCAAAAATAAAGGGAATTGGTGTGTAATGTATGTTAAAGAATGAATAATTATGTTCTTAGTATTTCGTACCAGACATAGCACATTGGAGGACAGTTGCCTCCCGGACAGTTGCCCTCCTCGGACGTGTGTCCCCTTGTTTTTGATGTGACAACTTGTCACTTGTCAGAGGTCATATCGTGTAATTATGTTATTTAACAATGCAAACGATATATTTATTTATGGATACTTTTTGTTTTGTTTTCACAAATTTGCGTGTGAGTTTTTGTGTATTTAAGCACAATTGATTTTCGACTATTTGACAGTAGGCAATGAATTTCGGTAACAACAATTAAATATTTTAACATTTTTAAAACAGAGGGAGGCAAATGTCCGCCGATTCCAAAGGGGTAAAATGTCCGCCACTGCAAAAAGAGGGGAAACTTTCGAGGGGGCAACTGTTTGAGGGGCAAATGTCCAGCAGGCCACAAAAGACATACATATATATATATATGTTATACATGATCCGAAACGATATTTTATATAGCAGATTATAAAGTGTTCTAGTATAAATTATGATCGTTCATCATATGAATTTTTATACTAAATCACTTATAATTTTATTATCATTTCTTTTTCAAGATTTTTAAATAATATCCGAACAATGCATTTCTATCGTTTTTATTGATATTTGAAATGTGCCCATTGTAGACCAAGCCACTTTAAGTACTTGTATATGCATGTCCTTACTTTGATGTGCTATATATTATTTTTATTCAAAGATTTAATAAAGGGATGTCGGAGTACTCAATAAACATTATCTTGTTTAAAATGTATTGCCCAACAACATTGACCTGGCACTCTTGCATTTGACCCTGTAGTCGGTATATTTTGTAAACTTTACGATCTACTTGCAAATCGATATGAATGTCAATATCCAATTGTTAAAATGATGTAAATTTAAATCCCTATTAGCGCAGTTGGTTAAGTAGTTTCACTTGCAGCTTGTAGACTAAAATTGGCACGTTCGAAATATGATAAACAAGATCAACAAGGAAAGGCGGCGTTCAATGAACGCAACCCCCCCCCCATATGGCAAGGAGCCCAGGCGGACCCCAAACAAAAACAGGACAGGGCAAAGACAGAGCACGGACAGGTTAATCACTAAATGATAAATAATTTGTAACTGATTAGGAATTCAAAGAAAACAAATAAATGATTAAATAACAGGCCCACAAAGTCAAAGGGGAAGAGGACAGGAGACCGAGGGGGGAGGGGGGGGGGTTAATCAAAGAAATAAAAACTAGGGGTAATGGGGAAGATACTGACCGTAGACGAGAAAACAACAAAGGACACAAGCAAAAGTGTCACCACAACAGTATGAAACAACATAGACATACATCTGAGGAACACAGAGGGGCGCCGCCTTGGAACGGTCAGCAGCATAATAATGACTGCTGGGGAGTTTAAACCGGTTAATGGTGCACCAAACCTCGCTCTTAGTCCCACCATGTTCCTATAAACGAGACAGTGTAAATAAAATGAATCCCCGCCAAGTGAAATTCTCACAGTTGTCATGGTTACAAAAGGTTAAATAAGTAAAACACTAAGATGATCATGTAGAAAAATATAAAAGTAAACCCAATGACCATAACAAAAGTACTCAATGTCCTAAAGGAAGACAGAGCAACAAGAAAATCACCTACAAGGGCCCGACGAAGCAAGGCAGACGAACATTAAGACAATTCAGTAAGAACTATCCATCATAGAGTCTCCCACTTGGTCCGTCAGATGTAATCAAAAGAGGAAAGCGTAGTGTCCAACTGTAAAAGGGTTAAACACTAAACATGCAGTATGTCTTAAAACAGTAGGGTCATAACCTCTTTTAATAAAACGTTTAATGATTTTAGTAAAAACAGCAGAAAAATTACCATGACCCAAAATCTTACGAAGTTTGTAAATCACATCGCCATAAAAACCAGGGGTGAGTAACCAGAAGCTTTCGTTAAAATCACGCTAACGAAAGTGTTAGCGCTCGCGTAACGAACACGTTAGTCATTTTAATGATTGATTTTGTTGCATAACCAGAAAGCATCGTTATGTAATCGCTAATCAATCGTTAGTTAAAATTCATAACGAAATCGTTGTGTAATCGATAAGGGTATACACAGCATTTCGCGCCATCTGTCATAGACACATAGAGTACATTGCACTACAAATAATAATGGAAGAGAAAGGTAAAAGGCGACCACGCTTTGAAAAAGATGAACTTGAAATACTTTGTCATGAGGTAGGTCTGAGAAAAATTACATTATTTGGTAAATTTAGTGATACTCTATCTCTTGAGAAAAAGAAAAAGTCGTGGGGCGAAGTGACAAACAAGATCAATGCTGTCTCTCAGGTTACTCGTACGGTTGACGAAATACGGCGAAAATGGAATGATTGGTCAAGCACTGTCAAGGTCAAAGCATCTAAAAAGAAAAAAAGCCAAACCAAAACTGGTGGCGGTGTTGACACTTTGCCTGATTTAAGTCTGTTGGAAGAGAAGGTATTAGTTATTCTGGGAAAAGTTGTAGTTTCTGGTTTTACCTGAAGGGATGGACACGCTGGGCAGTCCAAGTTCAGTGAGCCCGAGTCAGAATTTTTCTGACATATACAATGAAGAACCAAAAGAAAATCCAAAG